GAAACAATAAAGGGTCAAAGTGTAAAATTTAAAAAACTTCAGAAATGTGGTCATTATAATTGCTGAACAAAAGGGATCATTCGCAAAAATCATCAAAAATGTCCCAAACCAGCTAACGGAAAAGCAGATCAAATCTGAATAATTTATAACGCCGACGAAATTGGCTGGTGATTCTTAAATCTTTGGGCTTTGATTGTCAAGAATTTAGAAGGTATTTAAGCATTTTAGATGGAGGTGATGTATCTAATTGATTTATCATTTATAGTATTATCATTTATCTAATTACTTTTTCAGGATGACTCCATATCTACAACCAATTTATAATCACAATTAGATCAACTGGGGTTGCAGCATTTTCACTTTTGTAATACTATGCGTTATGCAATGCTCAAAAAATCAACTCGGCATAGTACCCAAAAATTTAAGATTTTCTATTCCTTTTTGGCTTAATATTTGCGGTTTGATTCTACTAATAAGAGCAATTAGTCAGAAAATCACTTGAGGATAGAAATAAAGATAATTCCAGGATTCGCTTCTTCTGCAATTTATATCTTTTGAATTCAAAATTCAGATAACCGGGTTATTTAAAATATAAAAGAAGATACCCTGGTAGATTTTGCTCTTGTATGAATAGCCTGTTGACTTGATAACCTGAGAGTTTTCCTAGCGATCACTTTAACTGCTTCAAATGTTTCTCTTGCTGTTGGAATGATCTCAATATTTCATCATTATTTTTATTCAAATAATTTTTCAAAAATAATTTTGAATGAATAACCTGATTCTCAGCAAGCAGGAAGCCATCATAAACTTTTTCTTCTGGTCTTAATTCAAAAAGATACGAATATTTGATACCAATTCTTCCTTTTGCCCAATCTTCTGAACCTCCAGAAGCTGGATCTAAAAATTGTTTGGAATTGGCCAAAAAGAATGGAAGAATGACACAAACAAGTTTTTAGGCAATGACAAGGTTTAGTTCTCTAATAATGGAATAGTTCAACCGATCATGATTAAATTTGTAAAAAAAAACCATTGAAAGTTTGTTGGCTGTAGAAATGAAATTTGATTTGAAATACTAACTGTGGAATTAAAAAAAGTCTTGTTGACACTGCCTGTTATCTTCGCGGATAAAATCATAAATTTTTCTACTTTTTTTCAAATTCTGCTTCGTATTTTCAAATTGGATAAAAAAATCCCTAATTTGCAACCAAAGGCGAAATAAGCAAGCGAAAATTAAACTTACAAAGCGTATCTGCACCAGTTCCAACCATATAAACCGTTCCATATAAAGAGCCAAGAGCATTAGCAGCCTGTACAGCAGTATTTTTCTAAAAAAAATTAGCATATAGCTGAAAATTTGATAGGTTAAAATCATATTATATAATAGAATACAATTTTTAGCTAACCAACTCATCGACGTCATTCGAATAAGTCCGAACTTGATGTCCAAATGGATACATTAGGATCTGCGAATAACTGTGGAATGTTAAAAATGCTTTGATCTGATCTCGATGCACAGCAATAAAATCTCGAACTGCTCGTGTTTCAGGTTCACTAAATGCATATGAGCCCTAAAATCAATCTTTTTCACATTTTTCAGACATATTTTCTAAATCATCATTTTTTTCCACTATAGAGTAGTCATCTTAATGAAGATCAGTAAATTCAGAAATAAAATAGATCAATTAAAGTTTTTTTGATTATATTTATGAAACTCTTTACCAATATCAAAATGAAAATTTCAAACAAGTCTCGCGAATTATTGAATTAAACTTTGTTCAATCTAGCTACAATTGAGATGATACTGAGGATCAACCTAAATTTCTATCCCCGACTGATCCTTTCCTAAACGGTTTCACTTAAATAATAAACTGAGCCAATCAACCAGAAATATTCTCATATAAAAATCAGAATTATTGTCGCAAAAAACTGATGGAAGATAAAATATATAACTGATAGGTCAAATATCAACACAGCCATTAATTATCATAAAAATTATGTACCTGGTAAATTTCAGAGCATGGATCAGTCGATGATCCTTCAACTCCAAAATGCCAGTCAAAATTTCGATTCAAATCGACTCCTTGGCAACACTGCGAGCGAGCTGTTGCAAATACAGCTAAAAAAATTCCATTAGTAAAAGAGTGATCCATTAAAATCCATAACCAAGCCAATTGAGGAAGCATTTACACAAACATAAGGAATTTTTATTGTAGCTTAAATTTGAAAAAAAATTTCAAAAAATTTCAAAACTTCTCTAAACTTTATTGGCCTTAATCGGCAGTAGATTCAGATATAATAAAAAATGTCAGGAAAGGATTACATCGATGAATTTGATTACAAGCAACAGGGGAACGATTTTTGCGCCATAGCCTGATTTCAGGATTAGTGCTGCTTCTACTATACTCATATCCATCTGGATTTAGCAATGGCACGATATACCAATCTAGTGAATTCACAAGCTCGTAAATTTGTGGATCCTTATTGTAATTGAGCACAAGCTAAATTGAATTTGAGAGGTTAACATAATCTATATTCAAACTAATTTTACTTTAATTGTTTTTTATTTGAAAAAAACATTGCGAAAAATTTCAAAAAAACTAGAAATTAAATTGAAAATGGACCTAATTAATTGATGACTTCTTACACTTATATCTTCAATTTTAATAGGAAATTTTTCCGTAATTCAACCATTTTTAATGAACATATACGGCATTTTCTTAAATGTAAAGCACTTTTGGTAGAACTTTGGCTAAGCAGAGGTAAGCAACATGGATTTGATCCATCCTCCTAGTGAAATATTCACATATTCAATAGAGCTACATGCCAGGAACATGCGGCCGGAAAACGAAGATGAAGGCGACTTAGCATTAGGTCTAATCGTAAAAAGTACAACATAAATTTTTTGATATAATTAAATTAGATTGACCGTCTACCTTTATAATTCACGAACACAATGGGTATAAAGGGAACTGTTTTAGGATGCCACTTGCCGAGGTAGAAAATGAATAGAAAGACTATTGCTTCCAATCAGAAGATTGTTATACAGGAAAATTTTATTTTATTCTTAACTGCAAATTATTTTAACTTGCAACTTGCAAATTGAAGAAATTCGGATTGAAAAGTTCCCTAACAATTTTATTGAAAAAGAAACCTTTGCATACCTCACAACTGACTAGTTTTTAGTTTTATAGTGTTATAAATTTAATTTTTATTATATTTGCAAAGCGTATGGATTAATGGACTCCATTAAATGTTCCATAAATTTGCAACAATGAAATATTAGTGAGAAACCAGTCTGTCCAATCAAATAATAAGTAAATGGAAAACTAGTTTTATAGGTGGCAAGGATTTGTGAAGTATGAAAAAGATCATAAATCAACAAATGAATTTTGGCAACAATGAAAGCCAAGTTTTCGTCGTACATCCCTAAAAACTCATTTGGCTTTTACAAAAAAATAGTTGATTGTTCTAAACAATGATAAGGAAATTGATCCTAAGAAAGCACACTTTCTGATTTCTGAAACCCATTTTTTTTGAAAAATTATTCTTGTTGACTACTATTGATTTTTAGCATAATATGAGATTGACCAAGTGGATAGTGGCTGAATTATTGTGCTGAAAAATTGGGATGTTTCTGCATTCAAATAAATCTTTCATTAAAAAATCCGACTGCAATGGTAGCCTAATTCTCCCACCAAATGATTCCCTAGCAAAATTCTTAACTGCACTAATGGCCAACCGAGGGAGCTTATTCAGAAATGAGCGTTAACCATCTTTTATTGACTTTTTAAAAAGGCTTCCCAATTTTCTTATAGAGTTATTATATTCACCTTATTTCCAGAAAATGGGAGGCCATTTTTGCATTGATCAATCACTGAAATGAGATCAATTTTTTATTTGGAAAGACTCGAATAAAAATCACCTCATCTTTTATATTCGGAATGCGATCGCAAGAAAGCCTCGGCAGAGAGGCATATAGAATGTTCAAATGACTTCTTACGATAATTATAGATTGGCTTTTTCACACTTCTAATTATTCATTCTTATAGCTGTTCATTTGCTATGAAAAGAGTTTTACTTGATTTATCATATAGAGTACGGATGCTGGAGCGACCCATTCACGTGCGTGTATACCGCCATCTATCCATATTGCTGGCTTATTTGTTATGCTTGGGTAACCAATCTGAAATAATTAATCTAAATCTTATTATTGTCGAGTGAAATACATTTTAAAAAAGGAAATCGGCTATTAACATTTTTACAACGATCAGTCTTAATCAGTCGGATTTGTAAATATTTGGTTATCTCTTACGGATTATTTCTGATTATTTCATAAGCTGTTTTAGGAGATAGGAAGGAAAAGAACTGAATTGTTTTGAATGGAAGAGAATGTTAGATGAAAGGTTAGAAAATAGGATATGCAAAGGTCTAATTCTTCCAAGATAGTAGAAGAAATATACTACTGGTACTAATTAATCTGAAAATTCTCATTATTTTAAGCTGAGCTTCATTAAATTTTTAAAATTTGCCCGCTAAATCTAAATTTTTTATTATTGAATAAAATCAATTCGTTGCCATTTTTATAAATTTTTGAATTAATACAGGTTTTCACCTAATTTTCTTATCATCAAATTTATAAAGAATCATCAATATATTTTTTTAAAATTCATAATTAAAACCATCAAAACTGAGGAAAGAAAGGAAAAAAATAACGGTTCAGTATCATCTGAAAATAAAAAATTAGGTGAAAAATTTTAGAAAAACAGAAAAACATTTAAAAATAAGAATTTTTTCCAATTTTATTGAAAATTTATTCAGTGCCCGCTTGAAAATTCAAATTGCTGAATTTTAATTCGAATTTTTCTTTCATAACGTATTTTTTACAAAATGCGTTTTAAAATTTTTTGAAACTTTCTTTTAGATTATCGAAAATCATCCGAGATAGTCCTTTCAGTTCTGTTGATAATCCTTGAGAAAAAGATAATCGAGCTGATGGTATATTCGGAATATCGCATCGTATTAGCGACCCACCTACATTTCTAATGTCAAAATTTCTAACCATAACAGCCAGCAAAATAACTCCGAAAATGGTGGAAGACGCTTATTTTTTAATTCTTGAAATAGAAATATTCCAGAAAAATTTGCCTCAATCATTTCCCATATGTTTTTTAAGATGAAAATAAAAATTTTTCTCAAGTTAATTGAGAATTTTTTTAATGTCTACTTAAATTCTGAATACAAATTATTGAATTTTTTTTCTTGGCGTTTGTTTTTTTCTTATCAAAAAAAGCTATAACCGATAAAAATCAAATACACCAATATTGAGAATGGTCAAAAATAAGCATGGAATAAAGGTAACCTTGATAAGTGGAATTTGTCTGCCTTCATGGGTCGTACCGATTGACATGACTTGGACGATTTCACGATGATTTATTGCAAGGCTATTCAAATAATTGACCATCGAGGCAAATGAATGATAATGACCGAGATTGAATTTAATACCATCTTCAGGACTATCATTTAGCCAATTATATCCTTTCATTTTTGCTGAAGCTGCTTTCTGTTCCGAAATTTTTCTATAATATTTCGATTATCTTGATACAATATTGATTTAACAAATAAATAGAAAAAAAATCATCGTTTAAAAAACCATTTTTGTTTATTTTTTTCATTTTTTAGATTTTGAGAGCAGCTGATTTTCATTTTCATATTTTAGTGCTATAATAATACAACCAATGCAATATTTTAATATGATAATACAGCTTCCACTGAACTTTTCGGAACAAACCTTTTCAGAATGCAAAATTTTTCTGGATTTCTGGTTGAAATAAGTTATTATAACTGTTTTATTAGAAAATTCAACCAAGTCAACGGAAAGAACATAGGAAAATAGATTTGAATAACAAGGTATGATTCCCAAAACCGTTGGACATTTTTTGTCATCACTACTGGAATATCATATTTTTGGTCTTATGAAAATTCTAAGTTTCGTATAAGGCTGATTCTTCATCTATAGTGAAGTTTTTATTTTTGCTAAATTTTTGGCGTCAAGTTTTAGTTCCTTTTAGTTCTTTTATCAGTTAAACTAACTTTTCAACATCTTCAATCATTACTACATGAGATATATTATTTCTCAAGATTGACTCAATCAACTGATCCTTTACGGAATCTTTGACCATGAGATGCACTTCTTTACCAGGTTTCGATGGGATCTTCCAAAAATCGAGCTGAAATTAATGAGTGACTTTGACTTTGACATATAAAATTGCTAAAATATCTAATAAAATCTAATTATCTAAAAATTGCTTAAATATAATCTATCTCCAATCGTATCATGAGAAAATGACTGAAAGGAAAGAAAAAAAGAAAAGAATTTTCACTGTAATATTGATAATTTTATAACAGAAAATTTTTTCTTTAAAGGACATCCTTGGCTTTTTTCGTTGAATCCTTTTCAATCGAAAATTCGGAAATAAAAAAAATGGTGTCAAAATAAAAAGAATTAGCATTTGCAGCAAAATTTGGATGAATGGTTTCAATAGAATATTAGCATTCTTCGGATTCGGATTTTTCAATAGAAAATTAGCATTCTTCGGATGAATTTTGGGCTTTCATTAAATCTCTAAGATTATCATGTTGCTGGAAAAAATAGAGGTAAATGTGCGGATGTAGAGTGATATTTGTTGCATTTCTTTTTAAAGCTAAAATTTAATATTTAATTTAATTTAATTTAATTTAATAAGAACAATTTTATAAGTTGTTTTTGAAGTTGTTTTTAATTACCGGCAGATAAAATGATAAAAAAATATTATACGTATGCCAAAGTTTCAATACAATAGAATTTTTTTCAACGCTCATAATTCCTAAATAGCTTGGCTCGCTTCACTGACCACACTTTTGCCCGAGACTTATTTGAGGAAATACTAATTCGGGGAAATGCAGTTCTTTATTAATCCTTATCTATTCAGTAAAGATCTATTGTATTTACTATTATTTATTTTTATTTATTATCAATGCGTAATAATTATACCAATATATAATTTTTTGCTGCAGTATAACTATGTAATTAATATATAACATATTTATGACTAATAAATAATAATTTCAGCTGCAGTGAATTTTATAATTAATGATAATAAATCAAGCAGTGTTGTATTGATATCTATTGACTCAATTCATTTCATTTTAACCATTTCAAAGCAATATGCCGCTGGTTGTAAATAAACAATAGGTAAAAACCCAAATCTGCTAAATTCATTTGTAATTGAGATAAGGCAAACTTCAGCTACAGTTTAAAACGGAATAACCTGGATGAAGCGCTTTTAAAGGAAGAAGTTCCAGGAAAACCGAGCGACATCGTATAATCAAAAAAATTGGAAATTTGAATTTAAAAATCTTTTACATAGATGATTTTCTGGCAAAAATTAAAAGTTTTAAATGAAACCAGCACCATAAACGATGGAATAAATTCGCTACGCTTAAAAAGAGAAATGCAATCATCGAAGTTCAACGAAACTTATAAAAATATCTTTGAATGCATTTTCGACTTTTTTCTGAAAAAGTTTATATCAAATACTAAGAAATGAAGAAATTTTTAAAAGAAATTTAAACCTATGAATTTCACGAAGGAAAATTTGAAAATAGAAATTATTAATGACTAACTGAATGGCTATTGGAGTGAGTGGGAATAGAAATAGAAAAATAGAATAGAAAAAGTGAGAACGAAAAAAAAAGAAAAAAGCGATCTGCGTTAAATTTGCACATTTCATAGTGATTAATAGCTTACCACTTAAGAAAAATACTAAATATTAAAAATAAGTAAGGGAAATGATAATAATAAATAATATGGTAACAAATAAAAATAACAATGATAAATAGTAAATAACAATAAATGACGAAACGTCGACTTTGATTTTTAAAAATCAATTTTTAGAGGAATTTTTAAAGAATAGGAATTTTCGTTGATGTAAATTGAAATGAGATTTGAAGCTACTCTTATATTTGATGATAGTTTTGAACAAAGTCGAAGGGCTTGGCAGCGACAAAATTAAATGAAAACCAGTTTTTTATCACTCAAATGTCCACTATTAAAGCACATTGCCATTTTTTCTGAGAAATTTCTTTCCTCATATTTTATTCTGTTTTTCTAATTTTGAATAATTAATCAATAGAAGCGAAAATTGCGTGATAACAGAAAATTTACTTGACTATCTCTGAGGTAAAGCTGTTGAAGAAATGCAACTTGTTCGGCAGTACTCGGTTTTAATCGAAAGACTGTAAAATAACTGAATCAGCGGTTTTTTAAAAATTCATTTTATAGCTTACCTTTGAACTTCGTTTGTAATTAGCAGATTTAATATTAATGATAATAATGGTAAAGAAATGAGAAAATCCAAATTCATGGTGATTACGTCAGTGATATAGAAGAAGCTTCAGAAGCGCGAAAAAACTTCTGCGAGCGAATTTGCTGCCGCCGTTAAGAAAAAACGGAAAACGGGAGAAGACCAAACGAAATTGCAGTTGAATAGAATTGGAGCGAAATAAAATTCGCCGGCTCTTCGTAAAGGGAATTTGAAGTTAGGTAAAGTTTTTAATGAAAAAATTGAATTGATGAACGAATTTGGGATGAAAGCAGTATTTATTCTCCCCAATCTCTACAGTTGTCCACCCGACTGCGAATAAAACGACGGCGAAGTGAATTCATTCAGAGCGTGATTCGCTCTCTTTCTTATGTTCTCTATTGCAAGAATTTTCTAAAGTGTTCCCCCGGTTGTTTCGTGTCATTATTTAAAATATTTGCTATATATACTAAAACGCTTATTTTGGTAAACAAATCTTTTATTTAATGAAATATGGTTAAAGTCATTTGTCAAGCGACTTGAACAGTACAGAAAGATTCTTAATGACTTAGGAATCATCAATAAATGGTTGACGCTCTGAATTTCTGGATGGTTCCTCTGCTCAGCTAATGAATCACTTTGGGACTAAAATAGTAGAGGCAGATCGCCGGTATTACCTGGATTTTTTATTTTTATTATTTTTATTGTTATTTAATAAATCCCCTAGTACTAATACTGGAATCTGGAATCGAATCTATAATGCTTAACGTAGATCGAAGCAACCATACCAATGAAATTTTCTGTTCACCGTAAAGTTACTTGAAGATAGAAGTATAGATGAATCGCAACTCTCAGAAAGGTTAATTTGACAAAATTTTTAAGTTTTTTTAGATCGATAAAATGACAGAGTTATAAAAAAAAACAGTAAAACTTATATTATTTAAGATCTTTGAAATTTAATTTAATTTTTTTTAAATTCTAACGATTTAGTTTTTTTCTGTTAAATTGATTTTATTTATGAAAAAAGACGAGTTTTTTCCAAAAAACGGTCTATATTTTGATTTTTGCTTTTTTATTTTGTAAAAATTTCAGCAATTTTTCTCCTGAAATTTTTTATTGTAATATTTTTCAAACTAATTTTTAATTTATTTCTTATCATAAGTCGCCATTTTTCAATTGACTCAAAGAGATAATTTTAGGTTTATAATGAGCAAAATATTGCAAAAATTGCAAAAAGCATTTCATATATCTATTGGACCCATCATTGATATTCAATAATAGCCATGGTATTTTGTATGATTGAAAAAGTCGAGATAAAGCTTAAAGAAGGACTAAATGAATTTCAAGCCTGTTTTTATCCTATATTAATAGTTTAAGTAAGCGAAATTTGTAAAAAAAGTCTGCAATGTGATGACAAATACTGTCAAGTGGTGTTCTGATGTTAAAGCTAAGTTAACATAAATTTCTTTCTTTTTCGCCACTCACCATTTGATTGTTCTGAAATCATTTCAGAGAGATTTACATAATTAATTGGCGACGCCACTTAAATTTTATTTTTGATTGCCTTCAAAAGGCGAATCAAACTTATTATTATTTTATTACTTTAGTCGAAGTAATATTTAACAATCAACAATTGTACTTCTGTCGTACCTCTAATTGATAGGAAAGGAACTTCTACTCTCATCATTAAACATTTACTTCAATTACTTCAATTTCAGTTTCCTTATTTTATCACAAAAAATAATGAAATGGGCGAGATTCACTAATCTATAAAAGATTTTGGCTAGAATCACGAATAAATTCATAATTATTTATATCTATAGAGAGTGTTTGAAGCATAAGTCTCTCAATTTTTAAAACTGATGAAATGCAAATAAGACTAAAAATGCCAAATATAATATTTATTATACTCATTTCATGTGATAAAATAAAAGAATAATGTTGATTGATACAATTAAAACAACAATTGCATAAACTGCACAAAGGCTCATGCCAATCGTCGATTTCAACAATTTTCCTTTATTCTCGACTTGTTTCTCATTCTCAGCAGTTATCAGCGAAATCTGTGATATTATTATATGAAGAAAATAATCAAAATTAGGGAAAAATACTTAAGTATTTGTTGAATCAATTTCATGGTTCATTGTTTATCATAGCTTAAAATATTATCGAACTCACAAGTTATGCATATATGTAAATCTGGGATTGCACGGATTAACCTCGTATTTCTTTCCCTATCTTCGGGGGAAAGATTTTATTCAATAGGAAAATGAAGTAGTGAAGGCAGCCAAACCAGAAATGCTAATAAAAAAAAAAGTTGGTTCTGCTCATAAAGTTGAACTTACTTCAGTATTCTGTTATGAAAATTAAAAAATTTTTTTTCCTGATTAGTCGTTTTTTTCTATTTTTTTTCTTTTACGCAACATTCAAAGTCACATAAATTAAGCTAGCTTTTTTTTTAGCAAATGAATAAATGATAAATTAAATTATGTATATAATTTAATTTATAAATTTAATTTACAAAATATCTACAATTATAAATATATATATTAAATTATTATATATATAAATAAATATATAATTTAATCTTTTTATACATGTATGTATACATAAACATACATGTATACGTATATATATATATATATATATATATATATAAATTTATTACTTTCCTTTGAATTTTTCAAAATTATCCTTAAATTTTTCTTTTTTAAACTTAACTATCTGTTTTTTTTTTGTCTTTGACAGAAGTAAACCTGTCATAGTGTCAAAAATTCGGATGGCTGCTGGGGACCTACCTTACCTCTATCTTCAAGTGACTCTATGGTGAAAGGGTCAAATCTCTTTGATCGCAATGATCGCGTCTTCCGACGCGTATGCTATTTCTACTTCTGAACCGGTGGTATATGAGATAAATATCGGGTAAAAATAACTGATTTGCATAACAACAATCTTCAATTCGATTGATAAAGCAGCGCTCTGAAAAATGGTGGAATGTGAAAATGATGGAATGACGATGTCCCAGAGATCATTCGGCTCATAAAGGCATTTTATCAGTATATCCTGGCACAGATGCTGGCACGTCTGTATATTTGGAGAACTGACAGACTCCTTCGAAATAAGAACTGGTATCCGTCAGGTCAGGGCTCTTTTCCCTACAATATTCAACTACGTGAAAGACCAGATAATAGATGTCGCTTGTCGGTTATCAAGAGGTATACAAATCAGTCCAGAGTATTGTATCACAGACCTTAATATAATACAGATAATATGCTATGGCGTAGTCCTTTTTGTTGACAGTTACGACGAAATGCGAATAATGTTAAACAATGTGTTAACAATTGCAAACGTGCCCTAACCAGCGAGAATTGGACCTCAAAATCAATGTAAATAAAATGAAAGTGTGTTCGTCTTATATACAAGATGCTGATAAAATACCTATTTTTATCAATTCATTGCCGGTTTAGAAGGTGCTCAATTTTAAATACCTTGGATATACTCTAATCCCAAATGGCCAAGATGGAATTGTAACCCGAATGACGACAGCTAGAAATGTTTTTCCGGTTGATGAAACCTTTATGGAACTGTCGTGAAGTCACCATGAAGACGAAAATCCGCATCCACATAGCTCGATCTTGCTATATGGCTGCGAAACATGGCCAATAAAAGTGGAAGATATAAAAAGATATATTAAGAAGCTATCAAGCTATCTTTCTTATCTTTGAACACTCATGTCTAAGATACATTTTACGAGCGGATAAAATCGCATATATGATAGTATTCATCTTCGCTCAAATACTATTTGTATTAACAACGTTATTATGACAAAGCGTCGTCCTCGCTGGTTAGGGCACGTTTTCCGTCCACCACAGGATTTGATGCATATTTCGTTACTAGCCGAACTCTGTGGTAGTTGGCGTCAAAAGCGGGGAGAGCCAATCAAGACCTGGACTGATACAATCAGGAAAGATTTTGAACGTATGGGAGGATCAGCAATATATGAATTCAGACGATGGAAATAAGAATGGCTGCTATTGCTGTCAGCTACTGCTTCGGACCGAGCAGCTTGGAGACATCTTATCCTTGTAGCCAGGAGAGCCAGCGTAATGGCTTTTTAATAGTGAGTAATGGTGAGAGCTATTAGAAAAAGAATCCTATTATAAACCAAATAAAAGCGTGAAATAAAATAGAATAATGCTTTTAAAAAATTATTTTAATTTTTAAAAAACGAGAAACTTTTTTATATTATTATATTATTATCATTAATATAAATTTTTTAACTAATTATTCTCAAATGCTACAATCCATTTTAGCCCATATAAATAATAATAAATGAAGAAAAAAACCTCTCTTTTTTCTCGTTGAACTGTGGAAATTCGTAATTTGCTAAAAGTTTCTTGTACCAGATCATCATTATGATTTACCGATGATGGGTGACGACGTTGGCGAGTCACACATGCCGCTGTTATATGACAAATACTTCGACACACGTGTAAATTGCAAAAAATATTTACTTCATTGCTGAAAAAATTTTTAATAAAAACGTAGCAAAAAAATGAAACATAAATTATTGCGTATTATTAATGGATCATTTAATCATTAATGTTCTCTTAAATCATCAAACTTTTTAGATGAACAACTTGCTAAATTTTAATGATAATATGTCGATAATATTGCATTGTAGTACCAATAATGTAATCATAATAATAAACAATAGTACATTAATAATGATAATGAAAACACAATATAAATAGTAACGAATGTTTTATTATCATCATTATTGTCTCCAATCATTATTTTATTACTTATTACTATTTTATTACTTATCATTATTTTGTTCTTTACATATGTTTATGAAAATACTTAACTATTTTCCATAATATTCTCCCCCCTCCCCTCCCCTTCTCCTCCCAAACCTTAATTTATTTTGAAGTTAATTTTTTAAAAAGCAAATTAAATTATTAATTTTCAAATAATTTTCAGATAGATTTATAATTATTAATAATATTGCAGTATAATATCAATATCAAATAAGTTTACAACATACTTATCAATTTTCATTAATTATTTCTCACGAATAGATTTTAAAAACTATGTAATTTACTCTAAAACATGCCGAAAAATTATGCAAAATATTTTTATAAATTCAAATTTCAATAAAGATTACATAAAAATTACATTAAAAGATATTTTAAAAATTACATTAATTATATGTAAAAGATTACATAAACGAAAGATTACATAACTGAATAACTGCTATTTTATGAAACTTAATTGAAGCATGAAGCATGATAGAAGCATGATGAATAAATTAATTATATAATCACTGGTTTTCAGAAGAGTTCACCAAATTATTTTCGCAATATATATATAAATAAATATAAGTAAATAAGTGATTGGTACCCATTATTTCTATCCAGACCTCCTCAATCAGCTGTTAGGATGGAAAATTTTTCTCAAGGAGTCATAAGGTGATATAAGTAATAGAGTCGCCAGGGTTACTCAAATTTTCAGAATTATTCTTATTGAAGGCAGAATCTGATAGATGAGATCCAGGAAATCTTTGGTGGAAACATTTCCAAGTTTTAAGACAAATCATTTACCTTGTCGGAAATGCCCAAGCTTTAATATCGTTTTGAAAGATTAGCTCGCCATCTTCTTCTCGTCGCTCAAATTGATTCCAAACGTTTCCTTTAAGTTGCAGACTACATCCGTCATCATCAGACAATTCCAAAAATGAAGCCGAATCTTTTGCCCAACAACGACCGATACGTGCATCTGATTTCACCCGTGGTACTCGAATAATATATGACTAAATTCAATAATAAGTTCAGTCTTATCGGGTTCAATCCAAATTTTCTCGACAAATTTGAATTTTTCGTAGCTACGGAAGGATTTTTTATATTATTATTTTTATATTTTATTATTTTTTATATTATATTATGATAATAACTTAATTAATTAAAATAAATAAACTCTTTCGCAATCAAAACATTATTTTGCGGAATTTTATGTAGAATCTATTCTTTTCAATAAACAGAATTCACCCATAAAAAGGGAAGCGTACTGCGACTGAGTTCAAGCGTGGTAAGTTCGATCTCTGTCTCTTCCGATGGGATTTATGGACAAAGGTAGCTCCATTCTCATGTGAGTCTCTAATGGAAGTCTCAATTAGTCAGTGAAGTTAGATGAGAATTAGATGAGAACTACTAAAAAAAAAATTAACACATTAAAACTAACTATTTCATCACCAACAGCGAGTGGAGTATTTATATCAATTGGCTTATTTTGGCCAGCACGGACTAACTGCACCTTATAACGAGGTATTTGACCTAGACCGCGAGCACTTATAATATCAGTCGTTGTAATGTCGTTTTCAATCGTTATACCGCCAAAATTCACCGTTGCCATATTATTTAAAGCACTTAAAAATGATTATGCAGATATCTGCTAATATGTGAAATAAGATTGTTATGACTCCACTTCTCGCAGTTTTCGTTTTTCCCAGATTAAAAAAAATCTAAATAACCAATGACCGCTAATTTAGTGAATTTTTTTAAGATCACCCAATATTTCTGGTGACGATTGTTCTACTAGCTTGTTGAACTGGGCAAATTTTGTCAGCTAGCACTTGGCGATAGAACTAAGGTGGGTCGCCAGTTTTATCTTGAATTTTGGAGGATTTGGTCATGCCGGATATAGAATGTCGACGGAACTTTAAATGAAGTGGGCAAGAACCTACTGAGCCATTCTATGGCATTTTCGCCGAACTCTGAAGCTCGGCGAAGCGGATTCCCATTTTGCGAATCATAAACCATTAAGTCAACCAAGTCTTAATGGTTTGCTTCCTGCTAAATATGATTTCAAAATGGGCTAAATCCTCGTTAAATAGCTGAATTGAACTATTTTTTATTGCAATAGCTTCCATTATTAATAGAACGGTAAGTATGAATCTACGACTGAATAAAACCTGGGTATCGTAGTCGTGACTATACAGGTTAATAAATATTTCTTATCAATCAGTTGTGAATAAGTTATTTGTTCTTGCACAACAACTGTATTCTCCAGATTACCTTCGGCATTCATTGTTGTTTCACAGCCGTCAAGTGGCACCTGAAAGAAATTTCAATTTTATAAGTAAAAAAATTGATGTACTGTTTGATAACCTCTAATTTTATAAAAATTTATGAGTGCGCTACTCGTACTATTCAGTGCTAGTAGATTAATAATTCTGATACGACTGCGGTAACCACCAAACGGCTTGTCAAATCACTTGAACTAATTTGAACATTTATAATACAGCATAAATAATAAAGAATCTTTGGATCGAGCCGCAATTTCGTATGGTTTTAATTGATTGATAGGAACTTAAACGAATATTATTCGATAATATTCGAAATACCTTAATAGCGTAATATTGCTGAGATAGTACCGATGCATTAACATAGACACATTTGGGAAAGCCTCTCTCGCTGTAGACGATACCATGAAATGGTTCTTCGAAGGTTAGCGTTAGAAGAAAATTTTTCTGAAGAAATTTTTTGCTCTTTGTACAATATATTTCTATTTTATTACATTTAATTTTCTATAAGCAAATAAGTGACTCGAGCGTATCATAGGCACTTTTCCCTTTATGCTAATTCAGCTTGCTACTAATACGGTTATGAACCTTGTTCAGATGGATAGTTAGCACCAAATAAAATAAAATACCAAAATAAATAAAACCAAATAAAATACCAGCGGACTGCGATCCACTTCTATGTTTATCGCCGAATGCACCACAAAGTACAAAGTATTTAGTTGGAACGAAAAGATGATTAAAAAAATTCAAATCGAACATATAAATCTTCTTTACATTTTTTTTTTATCATTTATATTTATTTATTAAGAAAAAGTTTGATATAATGTTTATTTTTTTTATTTAATATTTTTTTGCTAATATTTGACATTTTTTCTTCAATTCACTCTTATTACAACACAAGCAAATCATGTATCGGACTTCATTGATAGGCAATTCATTGATTAATAGCCACTGATAAAAAATTACGACGAATTTTTTAAATTGTTAAGTTAATAGGTTTTGATAAGAACAATTCCGATCATTGTTGACCCCTTTATCAGTCAATTCCCTTCCCTTGATTTTTCCCAATTCCCTTGACTTCATCTCCAACCGATGAATACATTCTAAAGATGACATCTATTAATCAAATCCCTTGTTTTGCTTAGATCAAAACATTTTCTTTAACAATCATCCAAAGGTTGTCCATAATCACCTTTCGATTTATTTCTGGACAATTCATAATATAGAATTAATAATTTAATGAATTCTTTAGACCATTCTACCCAACTTTATAGAAAATTAGAGAAAAAAACTGAAATTATCTTGCGAAGGGTTATGAATGACTTTTTTCCTATCGCTCAAGGTCCATATTTCAGTTATCAATCACTAATCTTTATGACAATGGCAATGGAGCGAAAAAAATATAAATGCAGAGTAACTCTAATTAACATAGAAAGATTGTCGGCGAGAATCGTTTTCGATTACTATTCGGTTATTCGGTTATTTTTT